GTCGTCGTTGTCTATACAGTGTGTATCTGTATCATCATCATCATTACAGTTGTATTGTCGTCGTCGTTGTCTATACAGTGTGTATCTGTATCATCATCATCAATACAGTTGTATTGTCGTCGTCGTTGTCTATACAGTGTGTATCTGTATCATCATCATCAATACAGTTGTATTGTCGTCGTCGTTGTCTATACAGTGTGTATCTGTATCATCATCATCAATACAGTTGTATTGTCGTCGTCGTTGTCTATACAGTGTGTATCTGTATCATCATCATCAATACAGTTGTATTGTCGTCGTCGTTGTCTATACAGTGTGTATCTGTATCATCATCATCATCAATACAGTTGTATTGTCGTCGTCGTTGTCTATACAGTGTGTATCTGTATCATCATCATCAATACAGTTGTATTGTCGTCGTCGTTGTCTATACAGTGTGTATCTGTATCATCATCATCAATACAGTTGTATTGTCGTCGTCGTTGTCTATACAGTGTGTATCTGTATCATCATCATCATCATCATCAATACAGTTGTATTGTCGTCGTCGTTGTCTATACAGTGTGTATCTGTATCATCATCATCAATACAGTTGTATTGTCGTCGTCGTTGTCTATACAGTGTGTATCTGTATCATCATCATCACAGTTGTATTGTCGTCGTCGTTGTCTATACAGTGTGTATCTGTATCATCATCATCAATACAGTTGTATTGTCGTCGTCGTTGTCTATACAGTGTGTATCTGTATCATCATCATCAATACAGTTGTATTGTCGTCGTCGTTTTTTCAGATCCCTATTTCGGTCCAGCCCGGTGATAAAGTTATTATACCCGAATTTGGTGGTATGAATTTGAAGTTGGACGGTGAAGACTTCCAAGTTTTCCGTGACGATGACATTGTGGGCAAAATCGTTTCACAACAAGCAACATCTACGGAGGAGTAAAACTGCTGTTGTTTCCGTGAGAAGTAAATACTTGAATGGCTTATGAGGAAGTGTTGGGGTTGTTAATTGTATCGTACTGGCTTGGTCACTAATGAGCAACTGAAATTTCCCGAATGACGCCGATTCTCTCATTCTTCTGGCAGCAGGTCTTCTTGATTGGAGTTTCACGATCACCCGCTTTACGTGAAGTGGTGAAAACGCGATATTCGCGGTGATATGCAGTAGTCGTGGAATATTTTTTTCATATCACTAGGGTGGACAAACTCCAATGTTTTCTCCTTGAAAATTCCTCAACTGAACTTTTGAGGGTTTCGTGTAACAGAAGCACTGTGCGAAAATATGCACGCAAT